TGGCACTAGCAGCAGGTAACCAGGGGCTGATTCAGGCCCTTTAACTTTTTCTTGCTAAGGGTTGATTTTACAAGTGGAAAAGGACCTGTGACTTGTTTTTTAAGACTTTAGGGAATTGTTGGCACTCACTGGTTTCCCTGCACCAGATGCAGCATGACCGGGAATCTTCGCTGCATATGAAAAGGTCACTTACCCTGTTCAAGAGAGGAGATTCTAACACTTGTCAGCTTGAGTGATGGAGAGCCATAATATTCATGTCAGAGAATTGCCAAGCCCTTGCGGAAGTGTCGAAGATGGATGGCCTGGGGATATACTCCTGACACTTTAATACTGGGGGAGGATACAGCACAAACATCTCATACAGAATTATAATCCATGAAAGGGCACTGAGGGCATAAATTAAAGGTAATCCAGCAGGCAAGGAGTTTAACAGCTGAAGGGAAGCAGGCTGGGGCAAAGGAGGGATGCTGGTGGGATGCAGTGGGGGCTGCGGTGGGGCTTCGGGGGAGGGAACAGCCCCCAGCTGGGATGGGACCAGGGCAGGAGGGAGCAGTGCCAAGCCAGAATCAATCCACCTCCAAACTGCCTTGCAAAATTATCTTCAGAATCTGCATTTTGTGTATTAAATAAATTTGATTCTCTTCTTGTTGATGGTCATTGTGCAACAGTGTGACCTGTTGAGGAGAGAGCCTGAGGTAGGTACCTCAATCTAGGAGCAGAAGTGTTGCTGCCAGCCTGCTGGGAGAGGCTCTGGGGACACACGGTGGCAATGATGGTGTGAATTCTCTGCCGGAGCCATCCTTGCACTCTCTTCTGTGAGAGGGAGCAAAGGAAACAGAACAGATCCAGTTCCTGTGCCAAGTGACATCCACAGTCCCCACACAAACACAACCCTAGCCTGGCTCCATGTGCTGGGCAGCCCTGAAGATGTGCTGTCCATCTCTATTGATACAGGCTGGCACCTGCACCCCAAACTTCACCTTCCTCCACACACTGATGGAGGCGACACCAGCCAAGGCCACGTGAGTTGTACCCATGCTCATGCCTGAAGGGGAATGAGGCTGTAGGGGCATTTCCATCTGCTGGGGAGGAGAAACAAGAAGAAAAGTGGGGGTTGCTGTCTCTTGTGAAGGGTGCTGGGAGGGACACCTGGACAGCAGCACAGCATGGCCAAGAGGCAGCTGGTGAAACAGTGACAGGGATAGTCCTGGGTTAGATGGGAAGGGCTGGGAAAGCTTGTGGGCTTAGCCTGGGCTCGTACCATAGTATGAACTCCCCAACACTGATCTTCTGACTCTCTGTTAGTTGAGCAGACAACTCTGACATAAACCTGCCCTGGTCTGTGGTAATGCTATAGCTGGCCTATATTATTTCATCATTTGGAGTACGTTTCCTTTTCTCTCTAAAAATGGACTGTAAACCATCCCTCTCCCACAATAAAGGCACAAATACACTGCTGGAGCACTGATGTTAAACCTCCAGAAAGGCAATGGTGATTCAGAGCTGATTCCACTGCTGTTCCACAGATTTCTTATCACAGAGGATGCTCTATCCATGTAAGTAGCTGGTCAAACATAAAGATGCTGCTCCAGAACTGTCCAAGTGGCTCCACTGCCCTTCCTGAAGTACCTCTGCTACAAGAAAGAAGCAGTGCTGACAGCTCTTGAGGGACAGGAAGCAAGATTTTGGGTTGAGTTCATGCAGCACCTGGCCCAGATTAAAATTTTTGGCTTTTCATTGTAATTAGGGTCAATACTATTACTGTGGGACAGTGGTGAGGTTTCTCCTCAAGGCTCTAGAGAGCCAGCCCATCCCTTCCTCCAGGTGTGCAGTGAGTTACAGGTGGTTTGGATCAGTGTCCCAGATTGCAGCTGAAGGTTTGAAGGCATCACCAGTCCCTGCAAAAGCTCTTTGGCTGTGGTGGGAGAAAGAGCCTTTACAAATCAGCCAGTGACAGGACTGTGTTCTGCTATGTGTCCTCGTGTTGACTTTGAAAGCTGCTCTACAGCAGTAAAAAAGCTGCCCAGGTAAAATCACAGCTGAAATGATGAGCTCTGTCCTGTGGCATCCTCAGAGTTTGTTACCCTGTGCCCCATGTCATTTGTGAGGGTTATTACAGAAAACACAGCAGCAGGCAGGGGTGTCAGGGTTGCCTGACAGTGCTGTGATGGATTAAGACAATCCTGAATTTCTATTGTTTTGTAGTGAATGTAGTGAGAATTGATGACTGTTGTATCCAAGCAACAAGGAGGAGGATAAGGAAGCTTCAGCTTCTCCAGAACTGTAATATTTCTGGCAAGGTGCCACTCTAAGCCATAGTGTTAATCTTTGTTCAGTCTTGGTATTGTCTCTGCAAGGTATGAAAAGAGAATGGAAATCTGTGTCATGGGATGGTGTGTAACTTTTTCTTGAGTTTTCTTTAATTTGCATTTGGTCTCTGGCTTTTGGGTGTGATTTGCTCGTTTCCTTACAGAGTCTGGCTACCAGAAATGTAAATGGCTTTGATCACAAATTTAAGGAAGAACAGTTCATCTTCAGCATTTAAATACAATGGGTGAATATGAATGCTGAGTCGGTGGGGATGGGAGGGCTCAGTGGGAAAAGGGTTGGACTCAGGAGTAGTATCTCTATTTCCCTCTCCAGCCCTATTTCCCTGGGATGGAGCCGATGTGGGACAGAGGTCTGGTTCACCACCTACAAACCTGTTGCTTCTTATTTTCTGCATTAATGTTAGTTTGAAAAGATGCTACAGAGGAATGGGTAAGATGACTAACAGCATGTCCCGCCCATTCCTGCTCACTGGGAGCCCTCAGTAGTAAACCACACAGGTAAATCCCTCCTCTCCCAGGTTTTACCTGTGTGGTTTATTAACTTGCTGCTGGTATAAAGCAGGAAGGTTTTTATGTGTGCTTGGCAGTTATCCTGGTGAAATAGTTTCCCTTCTCTGAGAGCACATCAACAGGGACTGTCCTGTGCTCTGTATAACCTCATTTTGTGGGATTTTGGTGGTACCCTGCAGCTGCTGGGGATTTGGAGCACAGTCCAGACAAATAAAAAAAGAGACCCTGGGGGTAATATTTGTGCAGAAGAGTCAACCAGTACTCGAGATGCAGGAAAGCAGCTTTGCTTATCTGTTTTCATCATTCCCAGTTGAGCTTAAATTTTGTGGGGTTGCAACTGCTGTTGTGGCAACACAGTGCAAAAATCCTGCAGTATTTTGTTTTGGTAGGGTAACTTACTAGGAGTAGCTAACCTGAAGGCAGCAAAGCCCCTCTAACTGATGGTGTCACCCTTCCAGCTTTAATAAAACCCACTTTGCATAAAATAAATGCATGGAAGTCATTTGTGCTTTCCAAATATGTGTTTTGCAAGCTGAGCTCCCTGATCTGTCTCTTGTGTGTGTCGAGGCTGTGTTTACACAGGGAGCCATAGGGACACATGGATAAAATAGCATTGAAGCATTTGCAGTGTGGGTGCAATGTGCTGGCAGAGCTGTAGGGTGATTTTTACACTTGTCTCTCCTCCTTCTCGTCCTCCTCCCCTGGCTGGAGAGCAAATTTGGTCGAGCATCCTTGCCCTGCATCGTGGGTGTGGGTGATGGAGCAGCTCTGACTCCAAGGAGCAGGACCTGCCCTGGGACAGCAGCATCCATCGCTGTCCCCTCCTGCCCTCCCCGACCTGGTCCGGGCTGTTGGCACCCGGAGCAGCAGGGAACCAGCAGACACATTCACAACTGTCCCCAAGTTTTCTCTCCTGCTCCAGTTCAAAGGGTTCCTCTCGTGCCTCCAAGAAATTTGCAGTGAGTGTCGATGGTGACGCTTTCCACATCAAAGCGGGGCAGCCTCGCATTGTCTGGGGGATGTCGGGCCGAGGCAAATTAAAGAGACTTTGGGAGCTTCAAACTCGGCTTTAGCCAGGCTGTGTCTGCATACTCAGCACTTGGAAAGGGCGAGATTATGCTGATAGGTACTAAAGCCAACCCTCCGGGGACTGGAGGCTGGAGCCAATTTACTGAGATCCAGGAGAACAAACTCATTGCCCTTGGTGGCTTTTGGATTAATGATGAGGAAATTCGTGGAAGTGCTGGGTTTTACACAGAAAGGGACAATTTTGCACCTAAAATCATACTGCTAGGAAGCCAGAAAGGAAAAAGCCAATTCTTTTCATTGTGGTTTATTGTAAAATACAGTCCAAAATCTAACTCTTAAGGGATAGCTTCAAAATATATAGTGAAAACAGATTGTGCTAAGCAATAATACAACTTATTAATAAACAACGTTAGGCATAAAGAATTCTGAATTCTTATCTGCTAATTTAAGAAAAAAAGTATAGGAACTGCAAACTGCTTGGTTTTATCCAGTACAAATACCTGAAGCTATTGTCTATTTGCAGAAAGGCTTATTGTGCCAAAAATACAAAATTCAAAAAGGAGGAGAAAAAAAGGGGGGAGGGAAATATGTAAACACTGGCTGTAAACTTTTCAAAGCCCTCAAAAGACTTCAGCTGTGGTAATACACACGATAACAGTGTCAAACCTCCTCTCACATCACAAAGTGCATAAGTTTTCCTCCAGAAATGCTGCCAAGCAGCTGCTGTGCACGAATGGCTGGGACCTGAGGCTGCAGGGATGGGATCACCCGGCTGGACCCACTTTTGGCCGCAGCACCTGTTCCCACCTCTCTGGCTGCAGGGCTGGAGCCCCACTGCTGGCATTGGCAGACCCACTGGCAAGGGCACAAGGGGTTGAGCCCATCTAAACCATGAAATTCCTCCCTCTGTCCAATATACAGATAAAGTGACTCCCAAGAAGAAAGAAGTTACTGGTAAATGTTGAGAAAAAACATGGAAGCAAGATGGACCACGGTCCCTCAGCGCCTGTGCCTTGTGCTTCCTAATCCTAACCACATCCATGCACAGGAGACCACATCACCTCACATGGTGCACACTCAACCCTCTGGACCCCAGGACGCTCCTTCCTCAGTGTGAGGACACCAAAGCGTCCCCTATCTCCTGTGGCCCCTGTTCCTTTGCCTGATGTGGTTGGGGGCGGCGGAGTCGCGGCGGGTGCAGAAATGTTTGGCCACCAGCGTCCGGCACTGCTCACAGCGCACGGTGCAGCACCAGTGGAACTTGCAGTTGCAGCTGGCCACCACCTCTGTCCTGCGCTCCTCCACCCGCAGGCCGCATTCGGTGCAGAGCCGCCGGCAGCTCCTCTTCTCCCACTGCGAGAGGTTCTTGCCGGTCTGCAGGCACTCACGGCCCTCGGTGCCGTGGTGGCCCAGGCTGGCGTTCCTGGTGCAGTAGTCAGGGGAGTCCTCCAGAAAGATGAGCTCTGTGGCATGGATGTGGTGGAAGGTCTCTGCCGTGGCCCCACGGCTGTCAGCGCTGTTGCCGGCTCTCAGGCGCCTCTTGTCCATCTCCAGCTTGTGGGCTTGGTCGTATTTGATCTTCAGGTAGTTGCCAATCTCGCGGAACTCAGCGAGCTGCAGCCAACAGGTCTGGATGCTGCAGCTGCCTGACACCCCGTGGCACTTGCAGGCTCTCTTCATTGTGTCTTTCACTGCCTTGGTGGGATGAGGTGAAGAAATGAGGAAATTAGGAAATCTCAAAATCAGGCTCTACAGCCCTTGTAATTTTGGGACACTGCATCTAAAGTGGTTCGTGCTTGGCATGACTTCAGATCCTTCCAAGAGCTGATACTCTTATTCCTGGAAAACATCTGTCCCAGAGGTAAGTGGGCACAAACTGTTGTCCCCAGCCCTTCCAGGAGAATCCAGGCCAGGAAAAAAGTACCTTTGTTAGGTCATGCCCTTCTCACCAGCATCAACCCATGTCCCTTTCAGAGGTTTCATTCAAAATGTGTGAAACTGCTTTGGAATAATCATACCCAACCTCTCTGCATCTCCTCCAGGCCAAGCACTTCACAGATATTATCTGCCTATCTCCCTCTGGTATTTATAAGGTCCCAATCACTGGTATCTATGTGAGATTAAGCCTTGACACACCCTATGAGATAGGTATGTTAAGTGTTGTCATCCTTGTTTTTACAGACAAGGAGGTTTGGCAAGATGCTGAGAGCTTCCATGGCCCAGGCAGGAGTGGGGAGTCTGGCTGGCTTGTGAGCAGAGCCAGCTCACACCTGGCTTCCAGGCCAAAACTTTGGAAATGCATATTGCAAGAAAGTAAGGAAGATGGTTCTGGCTTTGTTTTACAGACAAGCCTAGAGGTGAGTACAAACTCCATGCATTTCTGAATAAGTGGTGTGTGCCAGCAGTTAACTGCATTACACAGCTGCAGAAGATGGGAATGGGAACAACTTACTTTGATTCCCTGTGTTGAGGTTCAAGGCCAGATTCTGTCTTTTTTCCCCTATGCAACCACTACCAAGCCTAGATTGTCACGGGGACCTGAAAATGGGAACCTGAACAGCCTAGATTTTGTTTTCAGTATAGACATTATTATTATTGCTATTATTATTACTTACAAGCCTCCCGACTTCGTTGTTGTGCAGGTTAATCAGAGCGCGGGTATCGTGCCCAGTTTCCAAGGCATCCACGAAGAGCTTGGAAACCTTCTCCCCGAACTCCACGTTGTCACTGCATCCTCCCCAGACCCAGCCTCGGCCACCTGCAAGACACGCACAGGCTTAAGCACAGACCCGCCCCAAATTCTGCCCTGAAGTGTGTGGGTCTGTGTGCAGGGACAGAGGGACGGGGTCAGTCTGTCCTGGGATGGTCACTCACCGACGCGGCCGTTCCTGGAGTCGTCACAGCCGCAGCTCTCGAAGTCTCCCAGGCTGCAGTTCCTGGTGAGGGTGTACATGACCCCGGCCGAGCTAATGGCGTGCACAAAGGAGGTTTCCCGGGTAGCTGGGGGAGAGGGGGAGAAAAAGCTGTCACATGCAAATATAGACATCCGTCCCAGATTATCAGGAATTAAGATCTCCTGTGCTGTGAAGGTGCAAGGAGAAAATACCCACACGCTCTGTGCAAAAGGTAATGTGCTACAGAAATGAAATGCACATGACTGGATCTTTTCAGGCTTCAGCATCACAGGGTACAGCAATTTTGTATCATATTATGCAGGTGTCTATACAGGGGATGGAACTTCTTGCCAGGGGTAGGATTTTAAGGAAATGCTCTGGCCAAGGTCAGTTATTTCTCCTTTAACCTGGCACACATTTCATCTCTGTCCTTCCCTGCCTGGGGGTATGTTGTGCTTTGATCTTGCCTGCTGGAGAAAATGGTCATTGATCCTTTGAACCTGTGCTAACAGCTGTCTGCACCCACACTCCTAGTGTAGTCCTTTTTTGGCTTTCGGAAGAAATTCAAATAGAGATGTTGCTCTGGGTAAAAGGAGACTTCTGCCCATTGAAATAGATACTTTTGAAATATATCCACAGTTTTCTTATGAAGG